TATATATATATATATATATATATATATATATATATATATATATATATATATATGATACTTAATTATATTATGTAGGTTGTTATTGAGAATAATCTCTAATTTTGTCATCTATAAGACTCACATTCACAAACAAAATTACAGTTTGTATCAGATAATGTTAAATACAGGCTTTAGAGTTTTTTTTTTTTTTTTGTATAATGTCATTGATACAAAACTACAGTTTGTATAACATAATGTTAATGATATTAAGGGTTGAATATTATTTAAAGATTGAAGGTATTTGTGTTTATATTTTCATCATGATTTTTCGTTGAATGATAACCGGTCATTAACTACTTAACAAAACAAAGAAATAGGAATAAATAAATGTCATGTGCAAAGGAGATTGGGATATATAGAGAGGTAGAGAGACTGATAAGTGATATATAAAAAAAGAGTTAGAGAGACGAAGAGGAAGTGACAAAAAGAGAGAGAGGAAACGTATTAGTGCCAACATTCATAAATAAGTTATAAGAGATGGTTAAGTTACAAAAACAAATAACAACTACCACATTATTTTATTTTCTATATATGTCTTTTTTTATTGAACACAAACATCGAGTATAAAAAGTAATAGTAACATTATTAATGTCTTTTATGGTAAAATATGTGAATATTAATTTTTTGTTATATTATATCCATTTATAATTTGTATGATTTCTACATTGTGATATTATTAAAATTTTAAGACATTAAACAACATACATGGGTTGTTTTCTTATTTTTATTTTGTTAAATTGTGTAAATAATATTATTTTATATAACATTTAATGTATTGATAAGTTTTAATTTTCACATTCTACTCTTTAGATTATTAAATTAATTTTAAGTTTACATTTGCATTGTTAAATTGGTTTGGAGATTTTTTTTTTTAGTGCTAAATTGGTCTAAAGACATTACTAAAACATATTGAAAGTTAATATGTATCTTTATATTTTGATCCGAAGACATTACTAAAACATATTGAAAGTTAATATGTATCTTTATATTTTTATTTTTATTTTTATAATTGTTCCTAAATAATATTATTTTTAATGGAATATACGTCAAAAACACCGTAAAAAATTGCACGCGTTAGCGCAATAAAAAAAGCGGACAAACGGGCACGGAGTGCCCGTTTGGACGCTAGTTATTATAATTTTTATTGGATATTAAAAATAATATAAAATAATACTAGCCTCTTATCAATCCATAAATATATTAAAAATGGTATAAAACAACATATTAGATATTAATAATTATATTTTCAAAATTTGAAAATCTAATGTTTCTATAAAAAAAACGTATTTAAATATTATATTTAGAAGGATGAAAAACAAAATTATTATAATTAAAGTATTAAAAACATATTTAATTCTTTAATTAAATGTTATTCAATATTAAATTTAAATTTAAAATAAGTATTTAATATAGTTGATCAAAATTAGTTGAATAATTTAATATCAATATTGTTAATTTATATAAATATTAAACTTCCATTTAAATTTCGAATATTTACTTTTAAATTTCAAATATTAAGTAACAAAAAAATATAGTTGATTACTTTTAATTTTAATTTTTCATTTTCAAATTTTAATTACTTTACACGTGTATTACAGTAGTATTCCAGAAATAAAATTCTAGATATTACTTCAAGAAACAATTATTTTTTTGTAATAGTAATAATAATTAAATAAATTTATAACTTTTCATTAGAAATAATTAAGTATTCAACATCACATGTAATACACTAGCTCATTTGGCTAAAATATAGTGAGCAAAAAATTTATGAGCTTTAATATATAATAATATTTCTAATTATTAAATCATATTTAATTAACTAAATTTATATAATTATTTACTTATTTATTGATTAAAATATGATTTAGTAGTTAATTATTAATTAAAATATTCTAATCCTATAATGTCTCTGGCAAGCTTTTCTCAAAAAAACTATTTCTATTCATTTATTTATTATAGAATAATTTTTTTAACCATAAATCGTTAAAACAAATTTATGTGGATATTATAGAATAATCAATTTATGTATTGAATCTTTCAGTATCATCAAAACTATCAAAAATTTTCATATTGTATAAAAAATCATTGAACTTCCTCAAAATCGAATCTCACAACTTCATCAAATCACTCGTTAAATCCAAATCTTTCTATAATTCTTCAAATCGAACCAAAATCCCAAATCAAACCAGAATCCCAAATATTCTATAATTCTTCAAATCTCTCGTCAAATCCGTCCCAAATCGAACCAAAATTTTGATCATTCCTCAAACCCAAATCACTACTGTAAATCTCAATCTCACATACTCTTCAAACCCCAGAAGAGCTTCCTGTTGCTCATCTTCCTCAATCCCAATCTTGATCGGTAATGATTCTTCTCTTCTTCATCCTTCATTTATTTTTTATTTTTTATTTTATAAAAAAAATGTGTGTTTGTTAGGAAGAAAAGTTATGCTCATTGGGGGTAGTTTGCAACATGGGACGTCTATTTTTATTTCTGCATATTATTTATATTATTGACTAGGTAAAGAATTATGATTATGAGTGATTTCTTCTTTACTTTTTTTTGCCATAAAACAGTGTACAACCTTAAAATTAACAAAATTTTACCTAAAACAGTGAAAAACTAAGCATTAGGATAATAAAAGTTATACGTGTAGTTTATAAATTTGATTTAACAACCTATAACTATTTGATAAATATGTGAGTTTGATTGAAATGCCTTTTATTTTATCCATAATTTATGGTTTTTGTGTGATTGGAGCATTAGCTCTCATATGGGTAATAGTGGTGATCTTTCTCTCTATCTTTATGTGTTTGTTGACCTTTTTATGGATTATAGTTTTATTGTTTGTAATGTTTTGAGATTTATTTTTATGTATTTGTTTGAACAAATTTCAATTTGACAAAAACAATTATAAGATGAAAATTGTTTTATTTCTACAAATTGTTTTCGAATTGATTTTCAATATTACAAAAGCAATTATGATGCATTTTATTTTATTTTATTATGCAGCAAGGTATCAATGATGTTGAAAAGGACGATATAAATGATGAAATTCAAAAGGATGACGTAGATGATGGATTTCAAGAGGACGCTGTAGGAGACAAATTTCAAGAGGAAGACACGGATGTAGATGATGAATTTCAAAATATGTAGATGATGGATTTCAAAAGGGTGATATAGATGGTGAATTTCAAGAGGACGACGTAGATGAAGAATCTTTGGAGGGCGAAATATGTGATGAGTTTTAAGAGGACGATATGGACAATGAATTCCATGAAGACAAACTTGAATGAGTTGGATGATGTCTTTCTTTTGGCTTGTAGTTGAAAGCATTAAACTCAAATTATGTTTTTGTTATTTTGCTAGGGTCATCCTTCAAAGTATTAAACTTATTATTACTAGCGTCCAAACGGGCACTCCGTGTAATTTTTTTTATGGTGTTTTTGACATATATTACATTAAAACTAATATTACTTTGGAACAATTATAAAAAAAATAAAAATATAATGATACATATTAACTTTTAATATGTTTTAGTAATATCTTGAGACCAATTTAGCACTAAAAAAATATCTTCAGACCAATTTAACAATGCAAATGTCAACTTAAAATTAACTTAACAATCTAAAGAGTAAAAGTGAAAATTAAAACTTATCAATATATTAAATTTACATAAAATAATATTATTTACATAATTAGAAAAAATAAAAGTAAGAAGACAACCAATGTATGTTGTTTAATATTTTAGATTTTTAATAATATCACAATGTAGAAATCATACAAATTATAAATGGATATGAAATAACAAAAAATTAATATTCACATATTTTATGATAAAAGACATTAATAATGTTACTATTATTTTTCATGCTCGATGTTATGTTCAATAAAAAAAAGTATATTTAGAAAAGAAAATAATGTGATAGATGTTATTTGTTTTTGTAACTTACTCATTTCTTATAACTTATCTGTGGATGTCGCCACTAATACGTGTTCCTTCTCTTTCTTTTTTTTCACTTTCTCTTCGTCTCTCTCTAACTATTTCTATATCACTCATCAGTCTCTCTACCTCTCTATATATCTCAATCTCCTTTGCACATGACATTCATTTGTTCATCTTTCTTTGTTTTGTTAAGTAGTTGATAACTGGTTATCATTAAACGAAAAATCATGATGAAAACATAAACACAAATACCTTCAATCTTTAAATGATATTCAACCCTTAATATCATTTATAGCCTTAGGCTTGACATTATACCAACAAAAAACTCTAAAGCCTATATTTAACATTATCTGATACAAACTGTAGTTTTGTTTGTGAATGTGAGTCTTATAGATAATAAGATTAGAGATTAATCTCAATAACAACCTACACAATATAATTAAGTATCATATATTTTTTTGGATATTTTAAAAATGATCAATTATTTTCTGATGCATTGATAAAAAGAAAAAAAATTAAAAAAAAATAATTTAAGTTTGTATTCCTGAGGAGTTGAACGGTGTTATAGTAAGTGACTTGACTGATGAGAATGGTGCGTGGAACAAGAAGTTAATGCAATCATAGATGTCTATCGAGATTACAAACAAAATGCAGGTTGTCATACCTTCAGAAGTAGGAAACAGAAGAGATGAATGTGCTTAGAATGGTAGAAAATTAAATAGTTGCAATAAGTTAATAATAAAAACAATACATGTTTGACACTCTCTCTCTCTCTCTCTCTCTCTCTCTCTCTCTATATATATATATATATATATATATATATATATATATATATATATATATATATATATATATATATATATATATATATATATATATATATAGTGATAATTAGTAAAATATACAGTGATATACAATGGTTTGTAACAATTTCAACTTTCTATAAAACCTTTTTTATGTTTGCATTACAGGTAATCACAAAAACACATTGACAGTATACACAATTCACACAATTTAAATATTCAATAGTTGGTCCGAGTTGGATGATGTCAAAATATTGGTCAAAATATTGGTCCGCATGCTCTGCTTAAGCTCGTCATCGTACGTATGTTTCCGAAGCATGTCAACGATCTCGGATTTGGAATGCGAGTTGAGAAACTCGGCTTCAGCTTCGTCGGTATCGTTTTCGACGCCGCCGAGGCTCTTACAATTAGTGACAGCGTCTTTTCCACGGAATCTCAAGGCGGCGATATCGTAGGCTCTGGCGGCTTCGTCTTCTTCATTGAACGTACCAAGCCATACGCGCTGATGTTTCTCGTAAATCTGAGCTCCCCAGCGTCCATTCGGCTGTGGCACCACGCCTTTGTATTTTGTGTTAGATAATTCTTCTATGTCGAATGGATCCAGACTGAATCGTGAACGAAATCACTTTCCTTAAAAGTATTTCAAGCACACTCTCAGATTGTCTTAGAGTTGGAACGGCCTGAATACCCAGGATAAGTCAGCCTTTTTCTCAAAACTGCACAAGACTGATGAAGTTTCGAATGCAAGGAAAATGTTGGAATTATATGGAAGAGGATTTCAGAATTTGGAGTGAATGATTTCGAATTATGAAGCATATATTTATAGCCATGCATGTGTCTTTTCAGAAGGTTGCAATTCTTCATAAACGCACTCTCTAATGAGCATTTGCAATGGTTCACATAAAATATCATGCACCACTTCGTCAAGTGTCATGTATTTCAAATTCAAATTCAAAATCAAACTCTAGGCAGCGAATAAGTCTGAGCGATAATTAAAAATTAAATTCGCAGTATACCGGCCGAAGGCCGGTCCGCCCGCCGGAGGCGGCCGGAGCGCCACCGGCGCCGCGAATAGCCCGATGCGTCGTGCCTAAGGGCTCAAGTGCCGTCTACAAGCCGCCACTAGCGCCTCTACGCCCACGCCCCCGGTTCCGGTTCCGGAGCCGGAGCCGGAGCCGGAGCCGGTGTCGCCGGTGGCGACACCGGCGAGGGGTGTTTTGTATGAGACAAGTGACATAAGTTTTGGCACCACCACATGTGACTATGTGGCACTTTATCCTTTTTGGCTCTTTTGGAAATTACATTGTTCCAAGTGCCTTATAAATGCTATTTAATTTTACTCCTCTTCCAATGTGGGACTAAGCATTTATTATAACACCCACTTTGTCATTTTGGAACAACTTTAATGGAAATAAATTATTATTTCCAACATTTTGACGACGGGAGTTTACGAGATTCAACTTCGCCGGAGCCGACACAGTTTTCAGGATCGATAACAGCGCTAGCACCGCTTCCAACGCGACTGAGTGTGTTCATCGGCGGTGGTGGAGATAGTTTCGCTGGAATAAGAGATACCGAAAGAGAAAGAGAGTCATTGCTTGTGGTGGTTTCATCTGTGCAACTACCTCCTCCTAACTCCATACTTTTTTGTTATCTATTATAAACTAACTTTGATTTGTTTTTCTGAATATAACTAACTAAATAGTTAGTTAGAAAAAGTAAAGGAAATAGTAAGATGAACTCAAAGGGGAAGAAGAAGAATGAGAGAATAGGTGGTAGGTGTTATGTAGGATTGTTTTGGGGATGGATATATATATAGGAGGAACTTGTCCTGAATCTGTTATTTTATTTTTCTTTGAAAATGGATATAAAACCAAATGGAGTTTGGGATAGTTTAGGGATTATGGATAATTACCAAATATAATTTTGTTTCATTAATAGTTGGATGACGTGGCAATGTGTGGGTCAACTTCATTTGGAAATAGAGGAAGATTCAAGGTACTGAAAAGAGAGAGAAAAAGAATGAGTATCCATATATGGCAAAGAGAGAAAGGATAAGATCACATGAGAAATCACTTCCTGTGGGTCAATACTTGATTTTTATTTGCTGGTATTAATCAACAACATAATTATATTTGAAACTAAGGAATTTTCTTAACAAAAAGGTGGAATTGTATATAATAGAAATTTTTTTATTGTTTTGATAAAAAAAAACTGAAAATTTATTTATTTAGGTCAAAAATAAAGTTTTTAAATAATATTTTATTATTCAAATATTTACAAAAAAAAGGTTTAAAATATAATACAATGAGATACATAAGAAGTATGGTCAATGAAACAATATTTGACAGAATACATCAGCAATTTATTTTTTTACGTATTCAATAAAATTATATGATATAAATATTTGTAAAAAAATTAGAAATTAGTTTATTCTTAGAACTTTAAAAATATATCACTTTTAGTTTAACTATTTTTAAGAGAACCTCTAAGAATAATTGCAATGGTAATATAACTTTTCTAAAATATGTTATAAACTAAAAAGAGTTTAAAGGTAATGTATTTTAAGTGTAAATTAATATTTTACACATTATTAATATATTTAAATTTATTAAGTTATTTCATCTCAGTATTTTAAAAATAAAAATATGATTATTAATATTTATATTTTTTTGCATACTTCTATTTCTTAAATAAAAAATAATGTAATCTGATCATATTCGTGTTAAAAAAATTCCACACTAAAATCATACCATTTAATCTTTTATTCTAATGAGAAAATGTATATGTAGTGTTAATGTAAAATGTTTTTACATTATCAATTAATTAACATTTAGATGACCACTCACGTGTCTGTCTGTCCATTTTTTATAATACTCACACGCATAAAATATGAATCGTATCATTATTTTTATTTAATTTTAATTTTATTATTTATTATTTATAGAATAGTAGTAATAGATAATGGTGTAGAAGTTAATAAATTATCACATAACTACCATTTATTAGAATGAGAAATTAAAATTTAAAATAAAAATTGAAAATGGTATATTTGAAAAGAAAAAAGACTACACCAAAATCATGTTTTACATCACTCAATATTTACTACATTGGTTTTGTAAATCTATAAATATCAAAATACGGTTATGGAAATATTTACTAAATAAACTTTGATTTACGCATTGGTTTTTTACATCACTCAATAAATTTGATGCAAAAAATAATTTTACTATTATTAAGGAATGCATCTTGGTTAGGTAACATGGTCTTGGTAAGGAATGCATCAAATATTAAATATTATTTTATCTGGTATACCATTTGAGTATTAAATATATTAAATTTTGGGTATACTCAAATTCATAAAAAACCAATGTAATAAAAATATTATTATAAATGAGTATATTAGATAAAATTCATAAATATTAAATATTATTTTATCTGGCATAATATGTGTGTCGTACCCTAAATTTCACATTTACCAAATATATTTGTGTCGTACCCTAAATTTACTACATTGGTTTTTTACATCACTCAATATTTTGACCAATTATCACATACGGTTTTACATCACTCAATATTTACTACATTGGTTTTACATCACTCAATATTTAAATCATGTATCAATATTTACTAAATTGGTTTTGTAAACAATTATCACATACGGTTTTACATCACTCAATATTTACTACATTGGTTTTACATCACTCAATATTTAAATCATGTATCAATATTTACTACATTGGTTTTGTAAATCTATAATGTATTATATATTTAATACTTGAATTATATTACAACCGCTTTTTAAATATTCAATATTTTGACCAATATTGGTCAAAGTATTATTTTGACCAATATTTAATACTTGAATGAGTTGGATGATGTCTGTAGTTGGTTTTAAAATAACAGTTAAAGGTCAAATATGTAACAAATATAGGTTACCCCAAAATGCTATGTCATCTTTATCCATATGTATAGATATGTATAGTTTAATGTTTACATCACATTGTAAAAATTATACAATTTAAAAATCGAGATATTGTTTATATTCTAAAATTTTTGCAAATTACAAAGGTAAAATTGGAAAAATAATAGATAAAGATTCAACAGAGGAAACAAAATTTTAAAAAATTAATAAAAATACTCATTTTTATTTGATCATAGAAATTAAGACGCAACTTTTTTTTTCTTTCCTAAGAGATAATGATTCATTTTTCTTCTACAATGGAGAGAAAAATTAAAGTATTAGACATTAACAAAAATCCAATACCCTCAATTTTTTCAAATCCCAATTTCACATATGGATTTGTTTATGTAAGAAGAACAAAACAGTAAATGAAAATAAATAAAATAAGCAAATCAAAAAATTAGATTGGAGAATCTAAATACCCCGATAATCAACTGTAATAGAAATCATTGTGCGATTCACAATCCATATTATGTCATATGCAAATTGTAGATTTCTCTTTTCTACCATCATCATGAACATTGTTTGGATTTCAATTTTTCTCAGGAAGTCTCCCTTCTTCTCCATTTCTGACTTCTACGGATCTAATGAGTTAGAAATGAAATACATAAATTATAAGGAGAAGCTATTTAAATATAGTTTTTAATTAGAAGTTAAAGTGTGTTTTCATTTCAAATAACTAATTATTTTGTACAATATTCAAATATAAAATGGAGGGAGTAGTTAACTTTTATTTGTGTAACTTCTAAATAGTTTTAAAGGGTAAAAGAGGGAAAAAATGCTACACTAAAAAGATGTTTTGCCTTTATATATTGTTAAGATTATCTAATTTTATATAGTTATAGATTATTTATAAAACAATTAAAGATAATAATATGAAAAATAATAAATTGTTGGCGATTAATAAACCGTCGTGTAACCGCTGTTGTGAGAAAAAAAAATTTAAAACAAAAACTAAAAAGGGTAAAATTGGAAGGAAAAAAGCTACACCAAAACAATGTATTGCCTTTATATATTGTTATTATAGATAAGTAATATTACGTTAAGTATTTTATTATAATACAACTTTTATGGATGTACGGTTAAATTTGATCTTGTTTAAGTTAGAATCTTTATTTTTTGAAGCCATTCATCATCAACTATATTATTTAGAAAATAATTACAAAATTGTATATTTTATAGGGACATTGTAAAAGCAATCCTCCTGATTCAGAAGGTGGGGACACTTTAATAACAATCCTTCTTATTTTATGGGGAAACTTTAAAAATAATTCTCCTGATTCATATTTAAGGCAACACTTACTAATTGTAACCATATTTGGAAACACTTGAAAAGCGTTAGCTCAGAGGCCACGAATAATCGTCCCTTATTCTTTTTGTGGCAACACTTTAAAAGCGTCACCTCAGGGGGCACGAATAATCGTCTCCTATTCATTTTGTGGCAACACTTAAAAATCGTTGCCTCATAGGCCACAAATAATCGTCCCTTATTCCTTTTATTTAGGCAACGCTTTTAAAAATCGTGCCCAAAGATCATGGAAAAACGTCGCCTTAGACAATAGGCAACGCTCGCACAGGAGACACCTAGAAAACGTCCCCTATTCTTTTAGGCAACATTTTTCAGATTTTTGGCAACGTTTTTCAGTGGTTGCTGGAGAGTCTAAATGTTGTAGACTTTCCTAAGAGTACCAACTAAAGAGGATTGGTATTTTGACAGTGGCTGTTTCAGGCATATGACTGAAAGTAAAGAGTATTTGACAAATCTCAAACCTTACTCTTCAAGTCATGTAATCTTTGGAGGAGGAGGCAAAGGAGAAATTACAGGGGTTGGACAACTAAACACCAATGATAATCCAAGTCTGAGAGATGTATTGCTAGTGGAGGGACTGAATGTGAACCTTATAAGCATAAGTCAATTATGTGATCAAGGTTTAAAAGTGCATTTTTCAAAAGGTATGTGCACAATTGTCAACAATGAAGGTAAGGAGATAATGAGAGGGCCTAGATCAAATAATCACTGTTACCTATGAGAGTCTAGGACTAACAAAACAGGATTGATCAATGAAAAAGGAAAGGAGCAAACTGGAATGATTAAAATCAGAAAGCAACAAAAAGTAAGAAAGACCATAGTCAAGAAATCTGGAAATATCATTCCAAAAGGCCTGCTAGAGAGGAGAACTGGTGGTGACATGCAAGAAGGATACTCCAAGAGTGGCTATCAAGGTGAGATAGACAGGTTGTACTGGAATCTGATGAAGTGCATGAAAGCTACTCTACAGGAAGAGAAGAATGTCATTCCTGATGTCATAATGTCGTGCTGTGACATTAAGGGTACAAGGGAGATCAAGAAAAATTAGCAACTAAAAGGGAATTGTATTTTGAAAACCGCATATACTCTGAGTGGTCAAAATATTGAATTCCCCCCTTTCTCACAAGGAAACCCTTCTACTGCCTGTTACTTCCCACACTTCATCCCTCTACACTTCAGCAAACCTTTTCCGGCAAATTTAACTACTATGTCTCAGCAACATATTCCCACTTCTCCCAATCATACAGCTGCGCATCAAAGAAGCATGTCTCTGGAAGATATCATGGATATTCTGCCTCTTAAGATGGTTAGAAGAGCCAAGGTATCAGCATCTGCGCATGCACACAAAGAAGGTACTAACTCCGAATC